GGGAAGGTTGAAGCGGGGGAAAGGGCCCAGCCACTCCCAGCCCAGCAGAGACTTGTTGGGAAACATTGCGTAGGGTCTTCAGTTCTCCCCACAGTGAAGGCATCAGTCATCCATCCTTCCTAAGAAGACCCAGTGCTTCCGGGAGCACAAGGCCCCATGTTTGGCTGCTGGCTCAGTAAATTGAGCCTCCTACTAGACCTGTTACTGCTCCCTATGTCATGCCCAAATCCAGGGCATGGATTTTTGGCAAATATAGCATGCCATCATCTCAGGGCTGGGGACTGTGGCTCATATTAGTCTGAGTGCAGGGGAGAAGGCATTGCTCCAACTAGCTTGAGCATGGTTTGGACCCTCTTCCTCCCTGTTGTCTTGGGAGGCAAGAAATAGGCTTTGTAGACTTAATATATTCTGCCCAGTCATGGCAGGCAGCACTAGTTTGAGAACTGGGCTGGCCATGAATTCCCTGCCCGCTGTTTTCTTATAGGAGGACTCAGAGGACAGCGAAATTGACCTGGATGATGAGGAGGAGGAGGATGACATAGAGGATGACAGTGTAGAAATCTCCCCCAGCAAGGCTAATCGCCGGGCAAGGAAACCAGAGCCACTTGAAGAGAGTGACAATGACTTCTGACTCCTTTTCCACTGCAAAACCAGTTAACATCTTGAGATGCAAACACCAGGCAGCACTGGGGCTGGGAACAGAGCATACTGTATCGGGCCTGACCATATTTTATATCAGAATGAATTTGGGACCTAGTAAATAGTAAAGTTATATTCATAAAGTAAATTACACTAATTGCCAGTCATTTTCCCTGCTTCTGATTCATATCATTTGAACTGTTTTGACAAGTAAACTGTTTTTAAAGAAAAGCCTAGCACTGGAAAATGCTCTTGTTCACTTACTCTCTGGAACAGTGGGCTCAGGAGACCATTAGAACTAGAGCCTCATGCTCCAGGATTGCCAGTGCTTTGGAGCCCCAACAATCACTAGATGGTTTAGGCAGCATCTGCACATAACATTAAAACTGGTTTACCTAAAACTGGTACAAAAGCCTCATATGCATGTACTTAAAATAACTTGGTGCTGGCTTTTTATTTATTTAGCCCCAACTGCTTCAATTCTAAATCAAGGGCGTGTTTATACACTTGACTAAAGGAGTGATATGAGACAGTCACAGCAGTGAACACTACATCAGCTTAAACCCTGGTCATGTTGATCCTTTATCCCAAATCAACTGGGGAGAGTTTTAAGCTACATTGATATAAGCCACGCTTGGCCCACAAGGAGAGTGCCCATGCAGGGTTTGCACTGGTTTCACTAAATCAGAATAAAATCAGCCCTTGTAGTTAAGCCCACCGACTGCTGTGTATAGACACACCTTAGACCAGGGGTGGGCAAAATATGGCCCGCAGGCCAGATCTGGCCTGCCAGTTGGCTGGGTCTAGCCCACAGCTGTTCATGTGGCACTTTGCTCCACCTTGTTCATGGGAGTGAGCTCCACCTGCTCCTGCCAGGGCTAGCCCACACTGTGCTCCTGCCCTCGCCCACCAAGCCAGGCCCTGACCAGAGCGCACAGTTTCCGGTGGGGCTGTTCCTAGTGCTGCTCTGCTCCCCTTGTCTCCAGGGGGAGCCACCCAGCTGAAGCTTCCCTCCCCCTACCCACCCAGAGTGGTGCAGCAGCGGCAGGAGGAGGAGGTGCTGCTGGAGGCGAGGGAAGCGGAGCAGCACCTGGCCGGGTGCAGCCGCACCACACGCTGACCAGGGCCCAGGCCAACAGAGCTGTTCTGCTTCCCTCACCTGCTCCTGCTCCTGCCATGCTGCTGCAAGTGGGGGGGAGCTTCAGCTGGGTACCTGCTGCCCTAGTGTGCAGGGCTCCATCTCCAGCTCTCAGCTGCCTTCCACCCAGCATGATGAGCAGCCACCTGCGGGTAGGCAGAGCAGGTGGAAGGTAGCCAGGAGCTGGAGCCCAGTGTGCTAGTGCAGGAGCTGCCTGTCTGAAGCCTCCTTCCCACCTACCTGGAGTGGCGTAGCAGGAGCTGAAAGAACAGGAACCACAGCTGGAGGCAAGGGGAGCAGAACAGCCTTGCTGGCCAGGCCAGCACACTCAGCTTCCGGTGGGGCTGTTTCCTGTGTGGCTGCAGGTGGCCAGCTGCTGTTCTGCTTCCCTCACCTCCAGCAGCAGCTCCTCCTCCTGCTCCCATCCCTGCTGCGCCACTCTAGGCGGGGGGAACGGGGGAGAATTTAAGTTGGGCACCTCCACTGAAGGTGAGGAGAGCAGAGCAGCACCTGGCTGGCTGCAGCCATGCTGGGAACAGCCCCACTAGAAGCTGAGCACAGCAGAGCTCACCCAGTCTGCAGGTCCCCCATAGCCTAGCCCCATGCAGAGCACTGCAGGGGCAGCCACAAACTGGGAGAGCTCTGCTGCTCTGCTGCATGTAGCCCGTACCTCCCCCCACCCCTGGCTGGCTCCCAGGACATAGTGCTCAGACAGGCCGAGACACCCCCACCTCCCCCCAACAGGGCAGGGTGTGCAGGGAGTGGATCATGCCCATCCTGCTCCCGAATGGTGCTGTCCACCCACCAAAAGACCCATAGGGAGTTTTGATGAGCTGTTGTGCTGGGGGGAGGGGAAAAAGGTGCTGATCCGGCCCCCAAAAAGTTGCCCACCCCTATCTTAGATACTGACAAAGGTAGTCTGTGACACCTAGTTTCTAAGCATCTGCTGTTAGTGCACCCCACTACCCCCATGCGCCCATCATGTAAAGTACCTTTCTTGGGTGTGGCACCATCCCCTGGAAACAAAGAAAGTTAGATCCTCTCCCATAAAAGACAAGTCTAGAAATCTTTAACAGCTGAGTGCCTGGTAAATTTCTGGTCTCCTCCAAGGTGGGAGTGATCACTGGAAGAGATCTTTGTGTTCTCTGTAAGCTTTACACAAACCCCTACATTTCATAAATTAATGCATTTTCCACATTTACACATTTGTCTGTTCTTTTATCAAGGTGTTTTCCTAGGTTAGGTTGCAAATCAAGGCAGGTTAGGGAGAGCACCAAGTAAGTTCTGTCCATATGGCTAGGTTCTTTTCCTGCCCAGCCTGATTTTAGGCTTTGCCTTAGAGTCACATTTTAGCTTCACAAGAGAACAATTCACCTTGGTGCTTGTTCATTAGGACAGTCAAGTAACCCTGTTCTGTTCTCATACTACTGGTCCTTTTTTTCCCTGTACCCAAGCCAAAAGCACAGGCCCTACTCGTTTCAGAGTGAAAGTCAGCACACAAATCATTTCAGATTCAAAACGCTCTTTTCCAAACTCCAGCCACAGGATTGGAACTTTAGGGTGCTTATACACATACCTTTGCCTGCTCCAACGCACTGGAAATCCAGTGCGTTGGAGCAGACTCTATTAAGTCTGCAGCACATGCGAACTGACACGCCTGGCACTGTGTTGCGTGCATTTGTATAAATGGTGAAATGCCTCACACCAGATCAGTCCCTGTGCTGGGCCAGTGGGGGGCAGTCTGGAGTGTGGCAGGAGTGGGTCTAGGGAAGACTCACTGGGAGCTGTATCTTCCATGTGTTCTTGTCTACAATTTGGCTGAATTAGAAAGTCAGCCAAATGCAGTCTGCCTAAACCCAAGCTTCCTTCAAGCCTGCCTGGTCTGCTGCTTTGCTTTCTGCTCCCTACCCAATCTGCTGACATAGGTTGGCCACCCCTACACTAAAGGAATGTGGCTGGTAATGTACTATATTACTCCTCAATTTGGGAGGCAAAGTGTCATCTTCCCCCCACCCCCGAAACCAGAATGGATGGGTGTAAGGCTTGCATGGGTGTAAGGCTGTATGCTGTGTGTCCCTCCACTATTTATGTCAGAGAAAATATGCTGTATGGCTACACACACACATACATGCCCCTGCTGCCCATTCCCATTGTTGTGAACTGATATGATGGTAAACACACCTCTGTGTGGCAGAGTGAACAAAATCAACCTTCTGCATCCAAATATGTGTCCATAATTGGAGTTTTCCTTGAAGCCAGGCCTTCCACTCTGCCCGAGCTGCCTGGGAAAGCCTGGAGTCCAGCTGCATCATACTGAGCCCATGCAGGAAACACAGAGCCCAGGGGAAATGCTAGGGTGCCCTGCTTCAAAATAAAGCCAGGCCAGAGACTGTGTCCTGCTGGAAGGGGCAGCAGTAAGAGCCTGCCTTGGTGCCTGTGCCAGCAGCAGTGCTCTCTAGCCAGGTCCAGAACAGTTTGACATCACTGCCTACGAACATGTGTTTCGGGAGCAGGCAGCTTTCCCTTGCTCCATGCAGCAACATGTGGACAGAGTGCTAGGAACGCTTAGGCTCCAGGTAGCCTTGGGGGAACCAAAGCCTGGCAGAAGGGCTCTGTCAGTGGGCCAAGGGCACAATTTCATAGAGCGTTGGATGTATTAGACAACCCATCCTCTGCCCACTGTGCTCCGTGTAAGACTGCGGCTGGAAGACGCTGTTAAACCAGGGCAGCTTCTGGCTCCAAATGGTGGCTGCTCTGGTGGGTGGGGCCTGCTCTGAGCACTCAGCTGTTGCAGAACAATGAGCCTGTCTCCAGTACATGGAGATCCCAAGGTCCCAGACAACAGCCAGGGCAGAGAGTCCTGGGGTCCCCATAACCAACTGTCTCAGAGTTCTGCATACAATGCACACCGGCCTGGTGGGTGGAAAGGTGTCCTGAATGCTGCCTCAGACACCAGGCACTAGCTAAGGAGCCTTGGCCCTTCTCTGGGTATGATCATAAAGTTGAAACTGGTGGCTCCGGAGGGGCTTGGAATGTGCTGTTACCCCAGGCACGTGGTGCCGAGAGCTAGCTGAAGGTTTGTCGAAATGCAAGGTGAGATGCTCAAACTGTTTCTGCCTCACCCTACTTGCAACTATACAGGGGTTCCCCCATTTCTATCATCTGCCAACACCTGCCTTTAGTTAGTGCCTGGAGGTCTGCCTGCCTGGCACCATCTACTGCAGCCTGGCACTGACACCAACCTCAGACTTGCATGGGAACAGGGGCCCTGCTCAGCACAAGACCTTGGTCAGGGCAGCCTTAGCCCTGGCGCTCAACATGCCTGGTGGAGCCCTCCTGACTGCTAGAGACTTCCTGCTCTTGCCTGACGAATATGAGTTTGAATGAGCCATGAATGAGCTATGAGGTCTATGGGTACAGACAGAAGTGCAGCTCCCCACTGTAACTGAGAACACTTTGCAGGAAGTGTTCTGAGTTACAACCATACCCTGGACCAAACAGAAGTTCACTGTTGTTCCAGGGAGGAGGGGAATCTAGCTGCGGGTTGGGAGCGTTCAGCCGGTTTCCCCTAGCAATGGCCCCTCCTGTCTCCCAGCCTGTCCTTGTTTCAGAATGGGAGGGGGGAAAGGAAAAGGAATCTCATTCTAGGGGATCCCCAGCCAGCACTGGAGGGTGGGGGTGGGTGAATTGGAGCCTCATCACCTCGGAGCTGGGGGGGCAGCGCTCCAATACACCTGCCCCACGCTATAGTGGGGGCTGAAAGTTCCTAAACCAAACTCCCTCTGGTCCCTTTCTGCCCCGCCATTCTGAAAACAGCTCAGAGGCTGGCAGGCAGCGCAGACACAAGTTACAGAAGATGCTCTGTTTTGAAACAGAGGCAGAGGCAGATGCAGCAGCGGAGCCAGCAGTGGGGGCAGCAACAGCTGATCCCCCAAAAGTAAGTGGGGCAGAGGGAGCCGGCACAGCTGAGCCGGAGCCGGAGAGGAAGCCCCCCGGTTCCCTTCTAGTTGAGCCGGTAGGGAGCTGCGCCGCATGAGCAGAGCGCGCAAATGGAGAGGGCTAGAGGGGACCGTCCCCCCAGGCTAGGGAACACCCCTGGGGCTAACCCTCAGGGCGCAGGCACCCGCGGCACCGGATCCCCCCAGGGGGGGAATGTAGTGGGTGGGACTGCTGGCAGGCACTTCCGGGAAGACTGGAGTGCCTGATTGGCTGTTGGGGCAGCCGCGGGAAATTCAATCCACGGCCTTTAAAAGCCGCAGTAGCCCCCAGCACTCAGGAGCCAGGAGCAGAGAGGAGAGGAGGGAACTGAGCACATGTGCGTCCCCACACACACGTGCCCCCTTACCTGACCCGAGGCAGAGATGGAAGCAGATGCAGCAGCGGAGACAGCAGCGGGGGCAACAGTTGATCCCCCGAAGGTAAGTGGGGCAGAGGGAGCCGGCACAGCTGAGCTGGATCTGGAGGGGAAGCCCCCCGGATCCGTTTTAGTTGAGCTGGTAGGGAGCCACGCTCCTAAAATGTGCGGTGCGCTCTGTAAGAGCACGCTGACATTTGCACCAGTGTTCGCACAGATGGGCGAGCAGGAAGGGCCAGGAGGGAGACTCCAGCAAGGGTAGGGCAAAGGCACCACACAAAAATATAAATAAATAGCAATTTATAAAATGGTGTAAATTCAGAGTGCTGCTAGGGCCCCTGCCGTGGGGCGCCGCCTACGCAGGGCTTGTCTGAGGCCTCCACCCAGACAAAGCCCATGGGGGAGCTGGCATCCCCCTGCCCCCTGGCCTGCGGGGGATCCCCAGCAGGGCTGGGGGGAGCAGAGATTGGGGGCCCCCACACCTGTCCTGCAGGTGCCCGTCTTAGGGCTCTGGAGGCGCAGGTGAGGGAGCTCCAGGAGGAGGTTAGCAGGCTGAGGGGAATCAGGGAGGCGGAGGATGAAATTGATGGATATTTTCTCTCCCTGCATGGCCATGCATCCAAGGAAGAAGCACCCCAGGAGGTGCCCTGCACAGCAGAGTGGCAGACAGTCCCCTCCAGAACCAGGGCCACTTGCAGCAGAGCAGTACCAGTTCCTCCAGTCCAGCTGGAGAACAGGTACAAGGCCCTGGCGACACTGCAGGAGAAGGAAGGAGAGGAGAGGAGGAAACCTTCGGAGAGGAGGCCTCTCCACACTCTGAACAGGTTGAAGGAGCTAAGCAGACCCAGAGGAAGAAACGTCGAGTGAT